AAAATAGGAAATAGATAATAAAACATAACAAAATATGAAATAACAACAACAACAAATACATAACATATAATAATAAAACAAATTCGAAATTCAAAATTCGAGCTTTCTGGCGCCCACGTTCGAGTGGAAGACTACATTATTCAAAATTTGATGGCTCTAGGTCTGCTTTTTCACAATGCGAGAAACATGCATACATTCATGTGGATCTTCCTTATTTAATTTCTTTAAATATAATACAAGGCGATTTTTTTAAATATAATACTTCTCTAGAAGTCAAGATTCCATATTGTTGCGTTTTTCTTTCTTTTTTTTTTTTTTTTTTTTTTTTGAGAAAAGTTGTTACATTATTTTCTTCCTTCGCATTCGTATGGGGTTCGTATGGATTTGAAGTGAATAATGATGACACTACTTGATAAAGTATCGAAACACACTTTATTTACCAATATTAATCAGATGGCTCCAAAATCACTTTTACAGTTGTCGAACTGTTATAAACACACTGACACGTTCAGTGACACAGCCTTCACACTGTCAGGCAATAACGGTGGAGCCAGCTTCACTGCAAAGCACCCGAGTACAGCTCCCAACTCTGCTTGGTCGTTCTCAGAACGTACTCTCGAGACTCTCCACGCGATGCACTAGAAGACTCTCTTGATGCCTTCGACGACCAACTCGGCGCTAGACTTCGAGACACTCGCTCAATGACTGACTATCAGCTCTCTAGACAAGGAACACACACTGACTGCGGACCAGCACGGTTTATATAGCTTTCAGCTTGTGTTCGAGAACATTCTGGGCTAAACCGGTAAGAATTCGTTCCAGAAGGTTCTCCATCCGTCCATGGCCTATCGCCAAAGGGGCGATTTCTCGAGAAATGTGGCAAACCTGCCTTCCCTTGCCATTTTATGGGAACCCTAAAACTGAAATCACTCTTCAACCCTTTCCTGCTACATTAGTCAACAGGCCACCGGTGCTGTGCGTCATCTCTTGCTGGCATTTGATATATGTTAAGAACAGAGCCTGACTAAGGCAGGCGCATACGGGCAGTTTCCCCGGATCCCCAAATCGAATAGAAAGTTTATTATTATAAAAATTTGATGTCATGATATATAAAATTATTCAAATAAACTATGCTGTAAACAGCGTGGAATGGTACGTGCAGACACTGGATGGTGCTGTGCTATGGTTTGTGATGTGACTGAGCGATCCGTCACTGCCATGCGCACAATGTTCCTCTCATCACGTGAAGTGGTGCACTGAGGTGGATGCGATCGAACATGTCGGTCCGTTCTGCCTCCAACAGTCACATATCCGCATTACAGTTGTTTGGTTTCATCCAACACGATAATCCACACTCTCGCTAGGCCACTATCCTTCCTCTGTCGAACTCAGATATTTGATCAAACAATGATCGCTGTTTACTACAAGGCATAATTGATCGTTTTTTTGAAAAAAACCACAAGAAAAACATAATTGCCGAACTTGAAATCGTTGAAAACTCCAAGCCTTAAACAGCGCTTTGAAGTGGCGCCACAGGCGCGCGTGATGTGTGTCTGCGCTGAAATTCTAATCATTTGCATATCTCACCTCCGATAATGCATGTTGTAAATTTCATGTTTCCTTCAGGGTGTCGCATTTACGGTGGGCAGCAGTGTATATCAAATAAATTATTGAAAAGTATAACTTCAAAAAAAAATTCAACAGATTTACATAATTTTCCGTTATAATGCTGTAAGCAAAACATGCAGATTTGACCACCTCACTGAAAGGACAGAATCTCTATAAAGTTAGTATGCAGATCCATGGTGGTAACATATCTTATTAATGTAAGTTATGTTTGTTTTTAGATTAAACATCAGTTTGTTAATTGCTCATATGTGATGTCATGATATATAAAATTATTAAAGCAACAACCTAGTGTTCGGTGTAGATTTAGTCAAGATCTCAATCGATTTCGAAGGCAAACAGATTCAGGTCCCTCTTCATCAGGAGCATAGAAATCTGTAAGACTCGAAAGCATTGGTATGTTATGCCGCGGCATTGTGAATTTTGCAATGCGTTCAGCTCAAAAAAGTATTGCCCTAAATGTACTTCACAGAAAAATATATCAAATGAGATTCCCAGAAGGAAAATTTAACAAATGTGGAAGACAGAACATTTTTTTCTAGGTTGAGAGATCAATCTAGTCCTGACGGACTGGAATATGAGATTAAACTCCTAATAGAGATACAAATAGGTACACAAATTTCAAATAGAGACAGAAAAATAATATATGCATATACAAATACAAGGGTGCATGCGTAGAGATTACTTGCAAAATTTAAATACCTTAGGAGATGTGCAGCATAAGAATTCATTCTTTACCTTATAGAATTTTGTATTGAAACAAATTAAAATGCATGAGTTGGTTACAAGAAGTAGCTTTTTGAAGAAATTTCTACTGATTTTATTCAGAAGTTAATCAATAGTTTCAATATTGAGATCCTCATACAGTTAATTGCATCATAGAAATGTGTGTTAATAATGATGCATAGATATTTACTTTGCACTTGCTAGAAATTGAGCAGGTCATTTTTGCAGTAGTCCAAGTTGGACTGAATGCACATTCAAGATATAAATGAGACATTTCTTTTTTAAGTCTGATTTGGAATAATTGCCAATAACTGGAAAAAGCAGTTGATGACTTTCAGTTGCTTTATTCATAACATTTTTGATGTGATCCTTCCAATTACGTTGGCTACTGAAGATGATACTAAGATAATTGGCTTTGCAAACTTTTGGAATAATTTCATCAAAAGTAGTCAGGTTTTTCTTAGGTAAAATATTCATGTGCTTTTTGCAAATAATTAACAACCAAAATTTATGGACATTGATACATATTCTCCATTTTATGCACCAGTCTTTAATTAGTGGCATTAACTCTTGGAGCTTTCGGATTGCATAGATTGCTGATTTGACTGCCAAGGCAGTATCATCAGCACAACAGCTCATAAAATAATTTATACAATTTACTGGTTTGGGAATGTCAATCACATGGAAGAGATAGAGGATAGGGCATAAGACAGAGCTCTGTGGGAACTCCAGCTCCGATTTCTCGTAAATCTGATTGTGCTATACCAATAGTAACTGTAAATGTCTTATTTGTAGGGAAAAACACAATTAGAAGAATAATTTCTCTAGGGAAATTCATGTTTATTAATTTATAAATTAACCCCTTCATGCCAGATGCAGTCGAATCCCTTTACCACGTCCAGCTGGAATATAGCAACATTTTGATGACTATGAAGAGGCCAGACAGCAAATTTAACAAGTTCCACAGCAAGCTGAGAATATGAAATCAGTGACTGGACTTGTTCCAGCTCAGTTAAGATGGTACCTGCTGGGCTCGACAGTGAGAATTCTGGACCAAGAGATTCTCCAAAGAGAAAGGCATAGAAAGTTCAGATGGGGATCCAGAAATTACAGTTCTAAGCAATATAGCATTTCACCTTGAGTAGTCTTCTGGGTGCAACTGCACATTTATACCTACAGCAGTAAAGCGAATAAGAAAGTAGTGCCATCTTTCAGCATGTATAGTAACAAAATTGAAAAATTAAATTAACAGAATTTTAAAAGTGTTAGGAAGGACTTAAATCATTAACTAAACAAGATAAATCTTTGTGAAACAAGCTTTTTACATTCATCAAGATTTCTCTATGCCAATAACAACCTCGTATTTGCCTTAAAACTTTATCCTGCATAACTAATTTTGTTTCAATTCTGTTTTGATGCCATGATATAATTTATGAAAATTAAATACTGTTTTCATCTTTGTACATAATGCTTGTTTTCTTTCATGCATAAACACATTTGATACCTTCATAAGCAATATGATATCAATCAAAGCTTTTCCATTTTCGCTTGTTTTACCACTGAATGCTTAACTTTGTCTAACTCCAATTAAAAAAGTCAATTTAAGTTTTGTAAAGAAATGTACAAGTTAATTGGCTATTTCTCTATTTTCATTTATTAAAATGGTTTTTGGATTTTGGATTTGTTGGTTTTAAACTTCTACCAGAATAACTAGAACACGTTTGATATCATTATTATATACTATATATGTCTGAAACTTGTACCAACTGATTACCAAATTAAACCAAAATGCAACCTGATTTCTAACAGAAAGATTGGCAGGAGCTCAGCTAACTTTCATAGTCAAAAGGAAACTATATTAAGTACACATACTGGTTATGAGTACTTACTACTTAAGATATTTTAATGCTATCTTTATGAAAACATACTTAACTATGTCATAATCTTAAAAAATAAAACAAAATTATATAAAAAACACTTTTATAAGTAAACAAATTTGGCTATCTTTCATTAGAATTTCTAGGAATCTTTATTTGCAAATGTATTCCTTATTTCCAGCTTAAAACTTTATCCCGCATAACTACATTTGTTTTTACACTGCTTTATTTATGCATTTCTTCCTTAATACTGAATGATTAATATGTGTAACATAATACCAAAGAAAGTAAAATTTTCTACTGCTCTTAAAATCGCACTAATATTACAATTGAGACTATACACACAGGTCCCAAATGGTAATCAAAGAAAAGTAGTTAAAATATTTAAATAGAAAAGATAGCATTTTACTCCCAATAAAGAAGTATATAGTGTTAAAAATATTTTATATAAATTAAATGCTGTATATTAAGTTTGTCTTGTATTTCAGCAATATTATCTTTTGAATAACTGATTAATCATAAATCATTAGGATATTAATATTTCTCTTGGCTCTTTATATAATTTCAGAAAAATTTCTAATCAGGTCTTGTTGTTGCTAAAAATAATAATAAAGCTTTCTGTTGTAAAATTTAATAATCACTATACAGGTTTCACTGACAGCATGTTAGCATTATGCTGTACGATTCTGCAACTTGTACACAGAAATTACATTCATAAATTCATCATTAAGAGCAGATTTTCTTATTAAATCAACATTTTGAAAAGGAAAATATCAAACATCTGAAAACACTTCTTTATTGATTAAGCATTACAAATCATCTGGTAGTTTTTCATGCAGCTTGACACGGAATATTTGCTGCTTCTGTCGACACAACGGTGATATTTTGCCGTGAAGATTTGTGCACAAAACATTGCAAAAATCTATGCATTGAACAAAATTCAACAATAGTACTAAAAACAATTTTATTTCAGAATAAAAATAATTTAAAAGAATCCATGATTTAAAAGAAACGAAAGAAAAAGGGGACACTTACAGACCAATATCAATAAACCAAATTGTAGAAGACTCATAATAAAGAATTCATAAAAATATTCAATACTTTACAACAGAACATATTTCTGCACCAAGAATAATTTTGGAAACAAAGATCTTGTAAGAGATTTTCAACAGATACTGAATACAAATTTACTGACCACAGAACATTTTACTTCAGCAATGGAATCTTAGCAATGTTCACAATAAATTAGTAAATACAGAATATCAAAATTTTCAAGTTTTTTTAAAATAAGCAATTTAATGTCATGCAATAATTTAATCGCATGTAAAATTATATTTGAATGCCAAGTTATGCTCTGCAAGTATTAAAACATCTAAAATAATATATATTTAAAGTAAGCAATAACGAGTTGTGAAATCACTTTTAATGAACATATAACATGAAATCAGATATGCAAGCTGCTATGTTCAGGTATTCTCACATCAAGTATTTAAAAGAAATAATTCCCACCATTATTGCAGATTATCTTTTAATTATAGTTAAAAAATGAGAGACCAATATTCTTACATTGCTAGATGTTACTTTCATTCCACTGAAATTTTTTTGTAAAGTATTTTATCTATTGTATCTAAATTACAAATTTAAATGACTTGAGAATTTTAATTAAAGAAAGGAACAGCTATAAAAATACAAAGTGGATAAAAATGAAACAAGAATTTTAATATACTAACAGCTCTCAATTTTAAATAATTTCTCAGTAATTCTAAATCTAGAATAAAAATACTGTCTCCACCCCCTATGATATTTTAAAGAATGGCTAGAGAGTAGTCTACAGCTTATTAAAATAAGCATACTAAGTACACATATAGTTCATACCAAACTCCTATTTTCATGGGAAAAAATAAAACATTAATTTAACCATTTGGTTCAATATCCTTACTTTTGAAATGTTTACCTTCCTTCTAATGCTCATCAAAAGCAAACTTGAATACCAGTAACATAGCAAACTGCTAATTAAACATTTGACTAAATCTAGTAAATTAAATTGTGAAAAACTTGAGTTATTACATTAAGTGAATTTCAATGGAAATTTTATGATACAGAATAGTTTATGAAGGATGTATTTAGTTCCCAAATGGCCATATGTGAAAGTATAGTAGATTAAATTGTGAAAAACTTGATTTATTACATTACGTGAATTTCAATGGAAATTATAAGATACAGATTAGTTTATGAAGGATGCATTTAGTTTCCAAATGACCATATGTGAAAGTAATCTTCCAAAAATCTAAGGTTTCAATGCTTAATAAATGACTTATCCTATTACCTTTTCAATTTTGTTAAAGTATATTTAATTTAAAAACACCTGAAAAAATACAAAACAAAAATGGGGTAAAATGAAAGTAAATTAATAATAATAATCAGTTTCATTATTAAAAACCTAATTTAAAATCAGAATTTGTTTTAAAATTTACTACTACATATACATTACACACATGATTATAATAATTTTCTTTAATGTAAGTTCTTCTAGTTTTATTAACCTACTGGCAACCTGCAGTATAAAATGACTGTTTTAGTTAAAGATTTTAAAAAATATTGACAATTTCAAATCTTGACTTTACTCAAATGCTTCAAATTAGTAGTTCAAGTTAGTTGCCAAATCACTTGACTTGTAAAAATACTCCAAATTAATTCCTCTAGGTTCCAACATGTACAGATGTTCACATTTTTAAATGTCAGTTGTTACTTATACACAAAAATCACATGTTCAATCATACTGAAAAGTCTGTATTTTAAATTCAGTTGGTAACATATCATTTAATGAAGAAAAAATAAAGTTTCACTCAAAATACAGTTCCATTTAAAAGACACATTAAAAGCATAAAATAATTATGAGAAAAGTCCCCCCCCCCAAGGTAAAATATATTTCATTAAATATTTTTTTAAAAAAAAGAAGATCCCCCAACGCTAAAGTAAGCTCTGAAATAAATAAACAGAAGAAAATTAGTCACAAATCATTTATATTCCCTATATAAACAGCATCAGATTAAAGTATCAATCTATTTTCTAAAACTATGATTTCCTTTGAGCAAAATGAAAATATTATAACTTTGGGTCAAAACATTGGAAATAATATTCTCTTTTTTCCAGATGAAAATACAACTTCAGTGATTTTATTTTAATACACATTTATTACTAAAAAATTTATATTCATACTGAATTGAAAAGCTGGTATTACTTAATTATATATTGCAAAGTTTTCTTATTGTTGATTCATAAAACTGATGTCACAAATTAAAATAAATAGTAATTAAAACTTGGTTAACAAATGATCATTAAACCAAATTTAACAGGAATTGCCAAGAATACTGCATATAAAAATATTTATGTCGTGAAAATTCAATTTATACTCAAAGGTTCTTAGAAGAAATGTTAAACTGTATTCATTACTCAAAAAACAGATTTTTAGATGAACACACGACACTGACAGATAATGATGCATTTACTCTAAACAGTGTATGAATATGTAAGCAAAAAAGGGGATAAAATTATAGTCCTAATGAAAACAGAAACCAAATCAGATTTATATAAATTTATATATATATGTAACTTTTTCAAACATTGAAATTAAATATAAACATTTTCACATAATGAAGTTTTAAAATTGAATAAGATAAAAAAGCAAAGTACGAAATGTATTGCAATTTCTAATTTTAAAATAGTTTTCTATTCATAAACATTAATAGAACTTAAATGATGGATTTTTTTGGAATTTCCATCCAATCTGAAAAAAAAAAAAAAAAAAAAAAAAAGCAACACTCAATTATTATTTAATCAAAATTAATCAACAAATTACAAACAAAATTGCATTCATTAGTTTGAATATTTTATTTCTGTATTGAGGTGCATTATTTTTGCATTTAATTCAAGTTTAGATTTCTTTAGCAGGTTTAACTTCTTTTCCAAGTTTAGATTACATAAATGCATAGAAATAAATTAATTTTAATGTGTTCACTAAATGTTTTTGTTATACCTTGACTATAAAGATTCATATATCTGTCTAAATTGAAAAACCATCAGATTAAAAACAACCAAATAACTTCCCCATGAGGAAAGTATTTGGTTTCTAAAATATAAAAGGTTATTACATATTCTTCAACTAAATGCATGGACTAAAATAAAACATTCATCTTGGAAATCAGCAAATACACAGAAAAACCAAGATATTTAAAATAACTGTACTTTCCTTGTTTGATCCTGCACTAAATATTAATTATTTGATCTCTTACTCCCACATTTAATACTGTATGTCTGTCTGTGTGTGTGTATATATACTCAATATAGCAATATATTTCTAAAATTAAATATTCACAGCTTACAATATTTATAAACACAACAAGAATTTTAGTAATATAACAAGTATGATACATATAGCCAATACAAAAACTTTACTCACAATTTAAATACATACTGTATTTTCGATTTTAACAGCAGACTGATGAGAAAAAGTTAAAACATTTATTACACCATAAATCAGAACATATACCTTGGCATTCAATTGTCAGAATGAAAATAAACACATTTTTCATTGAAGATATCGATTACAATAAAACACACTTTAGCATTTTGGGTAATTTTAATTGCTAACAAAATCTAAGATGTCACCATACAAAATACAATATACAACAGGGAAACATTTTTACGTTATCAAAATATACATCTTCAAAAACTTAAAATTTTGAGAAATCCTGGCATGTACCCATTCAACATAATAAGATATATAGGTCTGAAGAGAATGCATTTAACTTATGATTCCAAAGACATGAAATAAAATTAAAACTGAAACTTCTTCACTCACAATGGAACTGAAGAAATGTCTTGCACGAATTTTAGTTCTTGTTTAGGAATGTCATGAGAGTTAGCCACAGGTATGCACCACAGTGGTCTTTTCCCAGTCCAGAAACACACACCAGCTGTCACTCACTCAAAAATGTGAGCATTTAAACTTCGCTGCAGCAGCATGAAACAAGTACATGTGTACGTCAAAACTAGATTTTTTTTATTATTATTATTTGTTGTTTGTTTTCTTGAAAAGGTCTTCCAATGCACTTTTTAACCATGGCATGTGCACTTTAATTAAGTCCAGATACAGCTGAATTCAGTCCATTTGTATACAAGGAAATGCTGTGCTACCAAAATTTGGAAGATTTCTTATATTTTAGATGGCATTCAAAAAGATATTCTCAAACAAAGTGCATTTTGGACCCAATGTTGGGGTTTTGCATTCAAAAACTCTAAATGCCAGCCAGCAGAATTAACCAACAAACTATACAGGGTTTGTTGGTAACGGCACAGTGAAGTCCTATGAGGATCATATTTAGTAAAATACAAATCTAAAAAGAAAATAAAAAATAGTTAAATATTTATGCATTATTAAAATAATGTGATCAACACATTCTTTTAAAAAAATAACAAGTACAAATAAAAACAGTTTAAAAAGCAGTTTTACATTTGAAGTTAAAAGTTTCTATGCAAAAACAAGCAATTTAGCCAGCAGGAAGGCAAAATTTTTGGTGTAAAAAACTAAAAGCTAACTTTTGGCCACAGTGGGCATAAAAAAAGCCAAGTTGCTGCACCAACTGACTTAATTCATTACTTTACTAAGAGTTTAAAGCCCCGTTCACATGCAACACTCCTTTGCACAGCTGCCGCTAGCAAGAGGAGAAAAAGGAGACATGAAAGAGTTTCGTCTTTAGGACCCATTTGGAAGACCCGAGTCTTCTTTCTCTTTACACCTAAGCCTCTGTGAACAATCACGTCTCCGAATTGGCCGTTTCCAATACTGTTTACACACTTTTAATGTTGTTTACTGTTGTTAATTTTGTAATCTCTACTTTCGCAACTGGTACCTGAACTTTCGTAATGGTTCCTGAAAAATATATGCTTTTTAATTATTATTAAGCGGTTATTTAGTTCACACTTAGTGTTTGTCGCTATGGTTAAAAGATGGTCACGGATTTTTAAACTGCTTCCTGATAAGATAAAGAACTCAAACTTTGTATATAAACTGCTTGTGGATGTGGTGTCATGCTTTTGATTTGTAGAGGATTATATTTTTTTCAAATTAAAGTTGAAAACGATTTTTTCAAAATTAACAACAAATAACTGGAATCTCAGAATATATAGTTTGCACATAAGACACAGTGGAAGAGAAAAATGAAATGAAATTTTAGGGTAATATTTTTTTAAAATATTTTGGGAGAATTTTGAAAATCGTTCATATTTTAGATTTTTGCGCCCATTAATTTTAAAATTTCTATCTAAAAATATATCGGTTACAAACTCGGTTAACATATCGGTTAAACATTTTCACAGCTTATAAAACAAACTTTTCGCATTTAAAAAAATGATAAAGGAAATTAATTGGATGACTTTTTTTTACTTTTTAAATTCTGCTTGTGTTTTATGATTTTTTTTGCAATTTTTCTGGCCAGATAAGGTTTTGAAAAAAGGTTTGTAATTTATGTTTATATTTACCAATTTAATAAATAGCACTAGGTTTGAATTATATATGAATGTGTGCATTGAAATTCAATAATAAAATTTTAAAGAAATTGAAATGATTTAATGAAGTTTAGACGTGTATTTAAACTGCAAACGCAAACTGAGAAACCTTTGATTTTTTCGATAAATCCTTTTACTTAATCTAAATATATACAGGTATGGACTAAATTATTTATTATTTTTACTGATTTTAAAATTATATACTTTATAAAAAACAAGGATGGGTTTTGCAAAATACTGAAAGAAAATGTGGACAGATCACATTGTTTAAAGATCTTAGAAAAAGTGTATTTTTTTTTTTCTCAGAAAAACATTAATTGCAAAATTATTCCTTGAAGTTATTAAGAAACTCTAATAAATACAATAAAAAAACTGGGTGGAGACATGAAAATTATTACGAGAGAAAGGCATGTTAATTGTCAATTTTTCTTCAAAAATTAATAAAAAAACTAGCAAAAACTTTTCTCAGCTTAAAATATTTTGTCTACAAAACATTTAATAATATTCGTAAAAAGTAGATGAAAATGCTTAAATAATAATAATAATAAAATCATTCAAGAGGTGCCGAGTTTCTTGTCACGTTGAAGCCGATATGTATTTGTCTTAACTTTAGTCTTAATTTGAAGGATATTTCTGGAATACCTAGCAGCAGATAACCTTGTCTATAATTTACAGTTCTATCTAATTTTTTGTTGGAGGGGGATGCTATCACAACACCAGACATCTATCAGCGCGACTGTTTCGCTGACAGTCCAGCAAGCAGTAACTAAAATTAAGTGAACCGCGCAGTATAGTATGGGAAATCTCCCCATTTGCCCTGCTCCCGAGAGGTAGGAGCATTCTAACAAATTCTACCTCCAATTCAGAGAAGCAGTTAATGCTTGTTTGCCATGTGAATGGGACACGTTGGAAGAATCGGTTTTCCCCACTGGTTGAATCTGCTCTTGTGAACAGGGCTTAATATGTAAGTAAATGGCAACCTCATTTTAGCAGCCCCACTTAAACATTTAAGTTGCTGATAATTCTATAATTATTGCACACAGAATTAAATAAAGGCACAAAAAACTTTACAGGAAAATAAAAAAAATCTGATATGCACACCACGACTTCCTTGTACGGAATATTAAATTATATGCAATTTTCATGCATTTCATTTAAACATATTGAATTAACAGTTAACGAATTTTGAATCAAATCTACTTCAATGATAGCTCATAAACCACAACAGAATAAATGCACTCTTTTAAAGTTCACTATATTTATTTACCACAGTGACACTTCGGCCCTTGGTTCACTTAACAGCCCTACATCTCATACATTTTATAACTCAGAGTGCACAAAAATTACACCATCTGAAAAATTACCACATGTTCTATTCCAATAGTACATAAATCTAAAACAATGATAAAAGAATTAAAAAAAAAAAAGAACAGTTTTTCACGGCGTTGCGTTGCACCTAATGCATGCACTACTAATTAATTCAGTTCTCACTTCGCAGCAAGGCAAAAATACATAAAAATTCAAAATATTTTCCTTAAAATTTGAAAGATACAGAAAAACATAAAATACCAAATACAGTTAAAACAATTATAAAAACAATTTTTATAATTAAAATTTGCAGTTTTTACACAAAAACAAGCTAATAATCTATCCAGAATGAATTAAGCATAATTTAATTCACAATAATAAAAGAAGACATTAATTTGTTGTTGTGAAGCTTAGCCTCTCTAGATTTGCAACAAATCCGTAATTCTGCTAAGTTTCAAATGTAAACAAATATGGCTGCCATGCTAAACAAAAATTAGGCTTAGCCGCATTTAAAAAACTTTTAAATTGTTGATAATCCACATTATTGCATGCAGGTTAACTAAGGCCTAAACACCTTACCCAGAAAAATATTCAATCTTTTTAAAGAAAAATGCATAATTTACAAACATATAAGAATTAAAAAACTGAGCTCACGGAGCCGAGTAACTAGATACAATATTCTCTATTTGTATAAAGCAAATATATTTCAATTCATTAAGAAATTTTAATTGCAAAGAAATAAAAAAAAAAATTATTATTGCTGCAACTAATACATATCATTTAAATTCTAAGAGCATATGTAAATTAATTGCATTTGCTAAACCATGAAAAATATATTATTCCTAAAAATTGCATAAGCAAAATAATTGTTGAGCAGGCAGAAGTCAGACTTATCAAGGGGAAGTTGCCCCGAAACCTATACTTTTGGTGTGGCCGGTTGCAAACAAAATGGGAGGTGCACATCTACATGTTATATACAAAATTTCAACATTCTGAGGCTACTCGCTTTTGAGTTATACAAGATATATATATACATACAAACATGTGTACATGCTTACAACAGTAGCCACGAAAAAAATCTCTTCAGAATTCATTTAAATTCAGTTTTATAATTTTTTGGGGGGAAACAGGTCCTTTATTCCGTCCTTACATAGATATGTCACTCAAAAACATTGTTAAATTGCATTTGATAGCCGTCAAATGGATATTTTCATTGAAATATGGTAACCGAAATTTTTCCTGATTACAATATTTCCTTTTTACTTCATACAAGGAAGTTATAACATAATTCAATCACTTTTAAAGCAAAAAATGCACAATTTATCAACATATAAGAATTAAAAAAACTGAGCTCACCAAGCTAGATAATAGAATTGGTTATATATATATATATGTTTGATGTGGCCAACTGCTATGAAAATGCGCGGTGCACAACTAAACCTTATGTCAGTCCCACATACAAAATTTCAGTGTTCTACTGCTACTCATTTTTGAGTTATGTGAGATGCATATGTACAAGCGTGCGTGTGTACTCGCTGATGTCCTGGGAAAAAAATCTCTTCTGAATCCATTATTGTGTCCGTACATACAGATGTCAAGCAAAAACATCATTCAGAGGATTTGAGAGCAGCCAAAATGGATATTTTCATTAAAATTCGATACTAGAAATGTTTTCCATTACAATACTTCTCTTACTTCATACAAGGAAGTAAAAAGGATGCTTTCTCATCCAAAATATATCCACTAAAAAGTCATGCTGACTTTGACCAGAAACATTTGTTTGGATACCCTTACATCTATTTCAACAAAGCATCCAGTATCACTTACTCTTTTTATGTTTTTCTTTTTCTATAGAAGACATGCACATGTCTCAGATGTACTTACATCAATCAATAGTTGTGTTTGGGAATAATTCCAGTTCTTCACAGAATTTCACTGATGCCTTTGTCCAATAATAATAAATGTAAATAGTTGTTGTAAATGAGCTACAACTAACTTCAAGTTAATTTTCGTTCAAATGCATCCCAAACCGAATTCGACTTCTTCAAGTTCGAATTCGGTTTGGTATGCATTTGAACATTTCTCTTCCAATTTTTTACATTGCATTTTCACAAAATTAAGTCACTTAAGAAGTATAACTTCATAAAATGTGAATTTTTGCATTCTCTATTGTTGAAAAAAATGTCATATTTCTGAAGAAATGCAACACTCTCAGGCAGCAAACTCCCCAGTCTTATTGCGATTCATTATAACAAAAACATATTCATTCAATGAAAAGAGAAATATAACCACAAAAATGACTGCTGGATTTCAAAACTGCAAATCCAGATATATACTCAAACGCTCATATGCTAAGCACATACCTAAGTAGCAACAAATACTTTCGCAGACATATGAGTTGCCACATATAGTTTCTGGCAACATGATGTATTACCCCATTAATAATTTTTTGCAACTTTTTGGTCAGAATGAGGATAATCGGAATGTTGGGGGATAATAGATACAACTCCAATTAATATTCATATAAATAAAACTACATTCAAATGACTTACCTCTTACTAAGAATCTCCCATAAAGCTATTTAAACTTCTCCATTCTTCTAGTTCTTTAGTTTGCTGTCTCAAAAATAATATCCTAAAAACAAGTTTTGAAATTTGAATTTAATTTAAAAAAAACAGATATATAACAATTTCATTACAGTAAATTAATGACTATTATTTTAACATGATTAAAATAGAGTAAACAGAATTAAATACCAAACTGACTTAAAAACTGATATAAAACAATCCACACAGTTTTCTACTTTGCAAGATACATTAATATCCTAAAAACAAGTTTTGAAATTTGAATTTAATTAAAAAAAACCAGATATATAACAATTTCATTACAGTAAATTAATGACTATTATTTTAACATGATTAAAATAAACAGAATTAAATACCAAACTGACTTAAAAACTGATATAAAACAATTCACACAGTTTTCTACTTTGCAAGATACATTATTGCGATGATTTTGTAAACTGCTTACCAAAATTCACATCATGAAATAAATAATTATACAGAACTGAAAAACTATTTTTTACAAATTTTCGCCCATATAAAATACATACCATTACCAAATACCTTACGGAGACGAAACTATACTCTTTAAAATGATAACCATTGATAAAGATGCTCAATATTTTAATTAGAAATTAAGCAATTAAACAAAATGTTTGAGAAAAAGATAATGAAGCAGATAGGTACTTAGAATTCCTTTAATTATTTACCTCTGTTCTTGGAGAGTTGCTTGAATTTCAGCTAACCTTACAAGAGCACGGGCCATCTTCAGTTCAGCTGAAACTTGAGTGCAGTTCAAACTACCAATGTTATGAGCTTCTTCCCAATAACGATTTGCCTGGAAATAGGAAATAAAAAGAAAAATAAATATATGTAATCAGCCTTGAGCAAGTTAATTTACTTCATTTAAAAATAATCCTCCTTAACAAACTTATGATGAAACATGATTCAAATATTCCAGCTTCCTTACAATATTAACTTTTATTTTTTCCCTTTCATTTATGAAATTCCTTTGCAAGATAACTAACATTTGTTTAAACATCATTTGGTAATTTAATTGCATTTTCAAATAAAATTTAGAAATCAGAAATTTGGGATGCAAGTTTAGATCGAGTTCAAGGTTGGACACAACTATATATGGATGCTTGTCGCCAAGAAGGAAGAGGATCATTAAAGAAAATGCCCCCCCCTCACATGAAATTACTATTAAAAAAGGGGGGAGGGGAAAACCGCTGTAAATTCTTTATGCAATTGCTGTAATTTTCTTGTCATTCATTACAGCAAATTACAGCAATCTATTACAGGCTTAAATATTATCTGGATAAAGATGACCTAAGCAATAAAAATAAACAAAAATATGAAAGATTGCTACTATTATGTATTGTTACTGCTAATCTTGACGTATTTTAAGAGAAAATTACTTTTTGAGATTAGAGAGCAAGTTAAAAGCAAATACATTAAAGGAAATTTTAAACTTATGCATTATATTTTATGTAACTATGTCACCCTCCCTTAAAAAATCATTCCTCAGGATGCAAATAATTACAGAAATAAAAATATTTTTATAATATATCTCTGAGCTGATTTCTTCTGCATATGATATTTTTATTGCTTATTTAAATAAGTAATAAAATATCATATGCAGAAGAAATCAGCTCAGATTAGTTGTTTCAAACAGCATTGTGCATAAGTAGTGCACAATGCTGTTTGAAACAACTAAATAAAATATTTCTTTAAAATCTATTTCATGAAATCAACAACTCCAATTAGTATACTTATTATTGCCATTATTAACCTTTTCGCCATTAATAAAAATAACCACTTTTTAATGCCAGGCGTTTTAAAACCTAAACAAAAAAATATTTCCTTGAAGATTTCAGGAAAGAAATTCTGTATTTCTGAAACTGAATAATGCAAACATGTATGAACACACATTAGTATTTAAAAAAAAAAAAAAAAAAAGAGAGAGAGAGAGGTGTGGACTAATAAAATGCTTATAGATTTTCGTAGCATCTCCAATACAAAATCCTAGTCTTCTTATATAATTAGCATGCAAACTTATGTTATTTATTATTTTTTCTACATATTCCCCTTTGTTCAAATCAAATTTTAATATGTAAGAAAGGTAAATATAAGAATTGCAAGAATAAGGGAATAAATATTTGAAGCAGTCACAAACAAAAATTTAAAACTTTGAAAAGAAATGTATAAGCAAGAAAAAATACATTTTCTTGGCCTCCATCAGTGGACTAAGACCATTATAGCCATTAGTGGTTTGACCAAATGAGAGCAGTTTCCTAATGTCATAATATAGTTCTCAAGCCTAATGCAAATGCTTAACATTTTTTTCCTTGGTGCCTTTAAAATTTTGTTGCCCATAAATTGTACTGTGTAGCATGGCCACACTTATTGAAGTAGTTTTGGTGTTTGCCTTCGGCACCAAAATTCTACAATCCCTACACTCGAGCAGAAACTATCCTGCACCCTAAGCAAATGTACAAACAATTCGGAGTTAATAATTCTTAACATTTAACAGCTGACTTAATTTTCTATGATAATTATATATTTCAAATTTCAAGAAAGAATGTTACACACAGAAGTAAGTAAAACAATGATGAAAACCTCTGTGTACACAGAAACCCTTTCACTAGAGAATAGCCAGTCAAAATTAGGTACACATTATATCAGAAAATACTATTTTTCAAGTATATGTTTGAAGTGCATATAGAAAAATCTTTCAGCATCATCAAGTGAAATACTTCATTGGATTTTAGTGAATAAGGAAATTCTTTTTTAAACACTGCAGAGATGCATGAAAGATCATAAACAATGAAAAAATTCAATGCATAACTTATAATATAGATAGACTAACTTATTTTTTAAAACACTTTTTTTTCCCTTATATCTTCTTTCAGGTCATTATTCTTTCAAACTTTTAATTACATTATATTTAGACTAATATTTAATTATATGTACTACATTTATCTTTAGCACATTGCATTATTTTGCAATTCCTTTCATTACTTATTGATATCCTTTCAGCTTCACAGTTTTCAACACAGAATTAAACTTTTTACTCATAGTGCTTTCAAGAAGATGGAACCTTTCAAAAAGTATTTCACATGAAATGCATATAAGTGCACAAAATTTCCTTACATGGAATCCCATAATATTCATTTAGATTTCATTGTGTTACTGAAGCATTCATTAGTAAATTTGTTTCTGCCTGTATATTTTAAGATTTATAAAATACCATTATTCACCAAAAGGGTTAAAATAAAATTATTATAGTAGGTATACTCGAAATTCAACAAAAGAGAGATTTATTAAATGTATTCCGGTTACTACATAAAAAATTAAATCAGATAACAAAACAATTTTAGCATACAACACATCTTTTTGTTATATGGAAACATTTGAAAAGCCATTAGTAAAGTTTCCATCTGCATTGACAGTCGGTTATTTATTTTTCTTAATGAAGAATTATTGTATTAGTTTCACTGCAGAACATAAGTGCAAAGATACTAGCTATAATTTTGAAAACAAAGTATGATAATTAAGCACAGGTTATTTTTTTATGTATCATCGATTTGCTTTAATTTAATAAATAATATTTAATGATTTTTCCCACCTTAAAGTCTTGAATATTTCACTTATAACACTTATTCTTGATTTTTTTTAGAATTCTTTAAAAACATGAAAATATTTTTTAAAAAATTACAAGAAGTTATTTTACAATTCATTGTTAATAAAATGCTCACTATATTACAGGAACAGCTGATTTCCAATTCAAATAAATAAATAATTAAATTAAATCAATAAATGGTAAAAAAATCTCTATAGTTGAAAAAGCATGCTATGCACATGAAATGTTTAAACTTTACTAAGCATATAATTATATTTTCATACGAGTTTCATCTATTTTTTTTTTTAAATTATGAACGATGAATTAAACCGAAAACAAGATTTAAAAAAAAAAAGACAAAAAATATGAAAGGTTTCAGATTTTAAATTATGCCTAAAAAGGTATTTTTTTAACAATTTGTGTGTTACCTTTATTTATTAAATTAAATGTTCTTTGCACTTAAATCATAAAATTCAGTTCAAAAGCAATATCGAACAATAATTTGAGCATATCTTTAGAATTTCCAAAACACAGTCTCACGAGCTGGTGATAAAAATGTTTTTTCTGTACAACATTGCCATTGCTCGCTTTGAAATCCTCGAGTTTGTTAATAAAAAATTCATTTAAGTTTTACAAAATATGAAATCGATAATGAAACTAGGTCCAAATTTCAAATATGGGCTTCCAGATGCTCATATTCGCAGTAGGAGTATGTCATTCAAAATTTGGCAGCTCTAGGTACCATTGTTTTATTACAATGCAAGAAACATGCATTTATGCAGATTCTTCATTATTTAATTTCTTCAAATATAATACAGGGTGATAATATTTGGTGACAACAGTTTGAAAAGTGAAATGGACATTCAGAGTGGAAAACAACAGTCCCTTAGGGACAAAGCCCCTTTGGACTAACAACTGACATTTTGAAAGAAAATGTGCATTTTTTATGCAACTGTCCTGATCACATTTTGAAACATCACATAAATACCACACTTTACAAAATTTAATTATGTTGTTAGTAACTGTACATAACATATTAGATTCAATTATTATTCAACAAATAATTATTCAAAAAAGATGCTTTTTGAAAATTATTTGCCATTTTTAAAGTACACAATTCTTAAACTCACAGTAATTCAATCTACAATGGTTGCAATGTTTTAAACCTTTGAAGTTTAGAAAATTCCTTTGCACCTTACAAATGTATGAAAAAAAATGCACCTTACAAATGAAGAAACGCACCCTACAAATGTATAGTAATTCAAATAATAAAGTGAAATGACACAACCTTTCTTATCTATGCATATGTGGTTTTGAGGAACAGGAGACATTTAACCCAGTTTTCCTTAGTGAACAGAACTCCTTTCAGAGAAAATGCTTAGTGATTACTTCTTTTGTTGTTCTTTGACTGCTCTTTTCAGTATACTCAGGTGAATCATTGCATGATGTTCTATACTTAGTACTTGAATTAACTCCGAGTTATATGGTAAATTCTCTGTTTTTTTTTTTTTTTTTTTTTTAAATTTTTTTTAAAGATAAATTTTTCTACAATATCAAGTTAGGGGAGCTAAAAACATAAAGAAGTAATGTTACATTCAAGCTATAACAGACAATAGGAATGTCTATTACAGAGTTCATATTCACTTCTGCATGTGAAAATTAAGTACTTTTAGAAACCCTCACTGAAAAATATTAAGGACTTATATCAAGCAAATAGGAACTGAATAACACTTAAACTTCACTTTTGTAAACTGTAAGAATGAAATAAATTTGGAAATAGGATACATTACTATTAAACATAATCTAATATTTAACTTAAAGTAAATTCAAGAATAAAATTAACTTCAAAATTTATTTCAAGTAATTAAGTAATTGGTGCTAAATTATAAATTTTTTTTAAACATTTATATTTTACACTTATTTTACACTTATAATAGTCCCATGTATTGTTGTGAAATGTACAGGCGCGATGAGATGGCTTCTCAGCAAAGCAGTTTTAGGGTTGCCATAAAATGGCAAGGTAAGGCAGGGTTGCCACATTTGGCAAGAAATCACCCATTTGGCGACAAAATGGTGATATACCATGGACGGATTAAGAACCTTCTGGAACGAATTCTTACCGGTTTAGTCCAGAATGTTTTTGAACACAAGCCGAAAGCTATATAACCCTGCTGGTATGCAGTCAGTCAGTAGTATCGAGAGTGTGCACCTCT